AGGGAAAGTCAATCTGCTTGCAAAGAGCTAGTAAACACCAGGAGAGCAGATTTAAGGTGGGGGGGGGGGGGGCTATTGCTCTTGGTCCTGTGTTTATTGCCGCAAAGCTCAGCTGGTTGCTCGCTCCGGGATCAGCCCTTTCCCTGCATGCACAGATGGGGATTTGCTGCAAAAATGGGATTTTTGGGGGGTTCTCTGGTTCCTACCAAGCCAGCTATCCTTAGCTCAACCCCCGGCTGCCCACTTGAGCAAAATATGTTTACGCTGCAAACCTCTGGACGGCTCCGCTGCCAAGCGGGCAGGGGAATGCGTGTGTGCCGATAAGGGCGCCGCGTCCTTTCCTTCCAGATCACCCGATAGCCGGGGAAGCGCGTGGAGGCAGCCGCCTGGCTCCCGACACTCTTGTTTTAGGATTTCTTTTATTATCATTATAACGTTCTGGTTGGAAAAAAAAAATAATAAGTCAATAGCTGTGGCTTTGCTGTACCAGGCTGCTGCCAAAGCCTGGAAAGCTTCGGCCGTGCCAGAGGCTGAGCTGCCCCTGGGGCTGCCAGCCCTGAGAGCAGCCATCCGAAAACATTAAAACTGCAGAAAGAAAATATTTCCTGCCATCACCCAGGCGTTTCTCGCATGGCAGAGGGAGAAGATGGTTTCTAACCGCTTCTCCCAGCTCGTGTGCTGGGGCACACAGCATCCTGGTGGGATTTTTGCAGGGATCTGAGCATCCAGTGCAGCCCCACAGGGGATGGGGCAGCTCCGAGCCCCTCTCAGTGGGTAAAAAAAAACATTAAATACTCAATTTTGATGCTGCTTCAAGTCATTTTCCATTCTTGGGTTTGGAAATAACACTCTCCCGGGTGAAGTTGTTGCAGCAAAGCGAGCTCAGCTGGACGCGAGCAGGAAAGAGCCGGGGGTGCTGGGTGGCCGCGGACCCTGTTTGCAAAGTAGAACTGCAGTTGTTGTTGTTGTGACACCCGTATGGTTGCGAAATGCCGGCGCTGAAATACCCCTGACTTTCAAAACAAGCCGAACTCAGCTGTGGCCAGCGGCCGTCTGTCCAGCTGTGGCCGACTGTCCAGCTGTGGTCCCTGCAGCCCCTTCCTCGCTGCACGGGCACAGCTGGGATGCCTGTGCCAGTGATGCTTGGGGCGTTTTTTTGGAGGGGAAGAACTCCAAAAGCTTTTCTCAGGGAGGAAAAACAAAAATTCCCCAGCTGCAGAGGTTTTTCTACACTGAGGATCTGCAGGGCATCTCGGCCATGGGGGTTTGGCAAGGCTGGGGGCAGGGGAGTGATGAGTGCGATACAGCCCTTAAATTCTGCTTAAAGAATAAAATAATAATAATAATAATAAAATATCCTAGGGATCAGTTTGTTTGCTTAGAGATTAAGTCAAAGCAGCTCCTGAATGGTCACCTAATCCCCCCGGGAGCGGTGGCATTGTGTAGGTGGTGGCAGCGGTGGCTTTTTGCCCGGTAAATAATCCTCCTCCCTGCCACGGCTTGTGGTCGGGCTGGGCTCAACCACCTCGCTGGCATCGGATCTTCTCTGGGCTGAGGCTCGGGGAGGGAGAAAGGGCTGCGAGAGGGACAGACAGACGAGGGAAGGGGCTGCAAGAGGGACGGATGGAGGAGGGAAGGGGCTGCGAGAAGAGCAGACAAGGGAAGGGGTTGCAGGGTTGTAAACTTCTCAGCTGCCTGTGCTAAAATCAGGCTGTTGTTCTGCAGGGCTGTGTTTCCCCGAGGCTGAGAAACAGGTTAAACTCCTCAATCCGGGAGCAAAATCCCAGCCTGGACCCTCAGGGATGGACCTCACCTTCCCTGGGGGCTTGGACCCCCCAAGAGCTGATGTTGCTGGGGCCACAGCAAAGCCCTCTGGCTATTTTATGGTTTTCCTCCTGTGCTAGTGAGCTTGTATCCCCCAAAATCAGGGAGCCCAAAGCAAATCCCCAGGCTCCGAGCATCTTTCCGCAGCTCCGGCTGGCTGCACTGCGTGCTTTCTTGGGATGCAGCACTGAATTTTCTGCTTAGCAAGAGCAAGCAGAGGCAGTGGGGGGGGGGTAAATCCACCCGTGTGTGTCCGTGGTGCCCTTTGCTTTTGGGGACACGTCGCCAGGACCCTGTGGGAATAGGGAGGGAATAGGAGGAGGGATGCTCAGCGCTGGCCCCAGCAAATGGCACCTTCACCCCCGGCATTTGGGCAGCACTGGCACCGGCGGGTGTAAACAGCTGTACGGAAATAGTCAGCCTATCAGGCAATATAAAAAGGCATTGTGGGACATAATCAGATAGCCCCTAAAAATAAAAGGCAGCGGGTCTTAAATTAGCTTCTTGTAAAGGTGTTGGGGGATGTGCATGGAGATGGCTGGGCTGCTCCGCTCTGCTCACCCGGGAAGACCCCAAAGCTGAGGGGGGACCCCATGGCTCAGGGTACCTTTGGGATCGATGCCGATCCGGCCGCGCTTCTGCCATCCCCCTGCCCTGGGCTGAGTATTTTTTTTTTTTTTTTTCACCGTTGCGATGGTTTTTTGCTGCTTACCCCAGAGCTGTCCTAGAAGGAGTCCCTCACTCGGTGTAATGAGTTGCCCGTTCTCAGGCTGTGAGTGGTGGTGTAACCGGGTGTAACCGATGGCCTGCGGCACGTCTGGATCCTGGACGGGGTCGGAGCTGGACGGAGGAGCCGGGAAGGTCACGTCCTGGCTGCGAAAGCTGGCCCAGCAGCTGTCCTTGGGTCGCTGGGCTGAGAGCGGTTCCCGGAGACTCATTTGGAAAACAGTCCTGTGAAATTTAAACTAATTAGAAAAGTCCTGAGCCAGTCGCTTGCACTAATTGGCAAGGCTGACTTAATTAGTTTTCCCCGGCACGTTGCCTGCGGGCTCTGCGTGGCACAGTGTTCCCAGCAGAGCACCGGCCAACTCGGGACACGTGTGGGAAAGGATGCATGGGGTTGCCGGTGGGGATGGGGCCATCCCCAAAGGCATCGGGGGGGGACATGAGCGGCACCACGGGTGGGATGGATCCGCAGGAGGTGACCCCACTGGGGCGATGGGGGGTGTCTCCAATCCCCCCCCCTCCCCTCCCTGGGGTGTTTTTAATGCAGCAGTCGGGACCGGCTGTCCCGGCATGAACTTCTTCCATGGACAAGAATGATTAACTGGTGGCGGCGCTGGCCCCGAGCCGGGCAATGTGTTTACCGCTGCCGCCCAACCGTGCTGAGCCGTGACGCCAGCGTTTCTTCCTTCGCCGCTCCGGCCCCAAAAACAGGCTGTAAACAAGGGCCGGCACTGAAACCCAAGCGCGCGCTCATGCCGAGCCGGTAACCGAATACTTCCTCCGCACGTGGCTGGCCCAGTGCGCTCCGACGGCAAACGCGGCATCGCCCAAATCTCAGTAAAAAAATCCTTAAATCTGATCTCTCTGGCTGGGTTTCTGGGGCCAGGAGGATGCCGGATGGCCGGCTTTCAGCCCATCCCCAAGGGATTTGGGGTGTCGGAGAGCAAGGAGGGAGGCTGCCGGCGACGCAGGGGCCCGTGGGGTGATGCCTGGCGGCGTGGCGGGGAGGGAAAGATGGATTTGCTCTGCCGGGAGGTGGGGAAGCACCGTGGGGACGCGGGGCTGGTGCCACCTCGTGGCTCCGCCGGCAGCCGAGACGCCCTGGCCGTGCGGTGCCGGACACCGGTGGGCACGACGGCGGTGGGCACGGCGGTGGGGTGTCCTGCGTGCGCACAACCAGCCGGGACCCCCAGCCATGGGAATGACACCATTGCGACCATTCCCGGAGCGTTGGGAAAGGCCATAAATCCCAACCCACCCACAGTTGGTGGAGGTCGCGTGGGGGGAACGTGCCAAAACGCAGCCATGTGATGCCCCGGTCGTGCTCCCCCCCCCCCCCGGGGCATTATCTCCAGTCGGCATCGGCGTGGTTTCCGCCTGTGCGTGCCGGTGCTGCAAGCGTCGTTTTGGTGAAATCCCTTGCAAAACACGACTGGGGCTAAAAGCAGCAGCAACGGGGCCCAGCCATACGCCGGCGGCTGCGGCGGAGGCACCGCGACTGCGCTGGCACAGCCTTTCCCCGGACTTCCCCGTGCTACTAACCCCATTTATATATTTTTTTTTTTTTTTTCCTTTTTATTTTTTGCACTCTCAGCAAGTGAACGCTGACACCTCCGGCCCCTGCGCGCAGGGCAGACAAAACCACAAACCACTCTTCATCTTCAGCAGCATCTCCGGTTCTGCCCCAGATAAAGCCCGAGGCGGCGGCACGGCCCCACACCGGGGGTGCTGGGGGGGGCCCTGCCTGTCCCGGGTCACCCCCAGTCCCAGCCCCGCTGCCTGGCTGCATCCTCCGCAGCGCCGTGGATTGGTCTCGACTCTAAATCCTTGCTGTAATCTGCCTGGTCAGGCAAGGGAAGCCATCTCAGCCCTGCTGCTTCGTGCATTTATTTTAAATTTTTTTGTCTTTGCGTTTATTTTTTATTTGTGCATCTTTTTAATTTTTTGCAAATATTTTAGTTTTGCACTTTTTAAAATTTTTTGCACGTTTTTCATTTTTGCCCATTTTTATTTTTTTTCCCCCATTTTTTGCCAGTATTTTGTGGTGTTTGGTGCTGAGGCTGTTTGTGCCCCCATCCTGCCGGGGTGATGCTGCCCCCAGCTGCGGCAGGAGAGCAGGAGGCAGCCGGCCGGGATGAAGCTCTGCCTCTCCTCCCGATCCGGCCAAGGAAATAACCCTCAGCCCCGTCGGGATTCTGCAACCACCTTCCCTCGTTATTTATCGTCAGTGAAAGGTTGAGGCTGGGAAGTGCGTGGCCAGATCCTGGCCCTACGCAGCACTGTATCCGGAGGCATCGCCTTCTGTGTCCTGGAAACCAGAAAACCCTCTGAAAGTGCCGGTGCGACCATGAACCCACGGGGTGGGTGCTCGGCATCCCACGTGGGTGCTCGGCATCCCGTGGGACCCCCCCCTCCTGCCATCCATCCCCTCTGCCCCAGCCTGGTGTTGGCTACAGCACCAACTTCTCCAGCGATGGGTCCCATCCTTCCTCGTCCCTGATGATGATGGGTTTGTCGGAGATGAGCAGGGCGATGGGGACCGGCGGTTGGCGCAGCCCCCGCCTTCCATCCTCTTCCTCCTCCTCTTCATCCTCCTCCTCGCCCGGTGGGTAGCCGGTGCAGCTGGTGCTGCCAGGCGGCAGAAATCCCTCCGGGCTCAGCACCTCCTGCCTGCGGTAGGTAAATGGCAGCTCCTTCTCGCAGCCCAGCGGGCACAACACTGCCAGTTTGTCGGCCACGGGGCCGGGCTGCGGCGTGCCAGGCCGTGTGCCGGTGTCGGTGGTCTTCTTGCCGGGATTTGGCTCCAGTAGCAGCAGCTCAGCCGGGCTGAATCTCTCCGAGGGCTCCAGGAAGGTTGGCCGGGGCTGGCCCTAAGGGTCGGATGCGTTTGGGGTGGGAAGGTCCCATGCCGGGACCGGGCACGGGTACCTGCCGGGGTGCAGGATCCGGCCCCTCCTGCACCTTGCATCTCACCTGGCTCATTTCGCTGGTGGAGAACTGGATGGCTTTGCTGCCCACGGGTTTGGGCAGGGGTGGGAAGAGGAGGCGGCGAGCCCTGGGGAGGGGGGGTGGTTGGTGAGGGGGTGGATGATGGGGAAGGTTAGAGGGGGGGGCGGCCAGAGCAGGGTGGGGGTGAGGGTGCTGGCGTCACCTCTTTTTGCTCAGCTGGTAGATGGTGGCCACGGCGGGGAGAGTGAGCGAGATGCCCAGGTACTTCAGGTTGGATCTCCATGCTGCTCCTTGAGGACCTGGGGACGGGCACGGCTGGGTGGTGGCATTTCAGTCCCCAGCACCCCGTGTGGGACACGGGAGCTGTTCTGGGATGAGGGTGAGCACCCCACAGAGAGCACCCCACAGGGACCGGGGAGGGGATGGGGTCTCCAAGCCATTACCCAGTGCCTTGGTCTGGAAGTGCCACCAAGGACGGCAGGTCCCCCCGCTCTCTGCCGTCACCTCCCAAACGCCCACCCTGTAGGCTGTGCCGGGCCGTAGGTTTTGGAGGGTGTAGTGCGATGCCGTGGTGTTCGCTTCGCCGTCTGGGCAAACGACAACGAGCAGGCAATAGTCCGGCAGCTGCCTGCAGGTTAAAGGCAGCCCCCTCCTCCTGCCCCACGGGGATGGGGGGGGGTCCCACTCACAGGTCACGTTGTCCCCCTCGGCCGCGTGGCAGATGAGATACTTGGCCAGCACCCCAGGACAGGCGGCACGGGGGGACGGGGTCCACCAGAGGATGACGGCAGTGGCATCCCCGGTGCTGGTGTTGATGCGGATGGGCAAGGCCAATGAGGCTGCATGTGATGGTGAGGGGGTGCAAAAAAAAAAAAAAAAGAGGGAGCATTTCAGGAATCCCCCTTTTTGCGGTTAAACCGGGCGCAGATGCTCCGTGTTTCCATACGTACTGTTGCCGGCATAGCGGTGCTCCAGGACGAAGGTGGACCAGCCCCGTGCCGGGTCCCGGCTGTGCACAGCGAGGCGGTAACACACCGGTGCTTCCAGTGCTCCTGGGGCAGGAACCGGGGAAGCCGGTTAAATCTCCGCCAGGCTCCAGCCCCAGGTGAAGGGGACAGGACAGGGGCTCAGGGCGCTCCCTTGCCTCTCTCCGTGTGGATGCTCTTGGCAGGGAAATCCCGTTGGATGCAAACACCCTGTTTCGGGGTTCCTGGCAGCGGCTGCTGCTCGAAGCAGTAGACAAAGTCGGGGCTTTGTACTTCCCACCGCACCGACACGGTGCTGCCGGCCACGCTGACGTCCTTGAAGCCGAGATCTGGGATGAAACAGGGGCGTGTGAGGGATGGTTGGGAAAATAACACCCTCGAGGCTGCCGGGGAGCTCGGTCCATCTGCTGGGCAGATACCTGCACGCTGCTCTGCCGGCACACGGAGCTGCCGCGCTGGCCCTGGCCCGGCAGCGTTGGCCGCCGTCAGTAGGATTTCATACTCGGCCCCGGAGAGGGTGAAGTTGTGCGCTGTCACCTCCGTCCCCAGCACCACGGTGTCATTCTTGGCCGGCTCGGCGCAGTGGCACGCCGGCATGAAGGCGCGCAGGGTGTAGGTGACATTCCCTTGCTCCTTGGGGGCTCGCTGGGGGAGGGAGAAGGGACGGCTCGGGGGATGAAATGGTGGGGGGACACCCAGGAGGGTCCCCGGGGGATGCCGCCGTACCTGCCAGCCGAGGCTCAGCACCCTCTGCCCGTCTCTCCCCAGTTTTCCCAGCTGGTAGCTCAGTACTGGACTCGCCAGGATTTCTGCAAAAGGAATGAGCCCGGCTGGGCTGTTGGCATTTTCGGGAGCTGTTGGGATCCCACCCGCCTCCCCTCCTCTTCCTCACCCTCGGGAACGAAGATGGAGCTGCTCCAGTTGCTCCAGTAGCTGCTCCAGTGGGGGAGCTTGTGCCGGAGCTGGACCTTGAAGGCGCCATCCTGCCCGAGGGTGCAGGTCACTGGAGCGGGGTGGCAGGGTCAGGCGGGGGGTGACACCCCCTTTCACCCAGCTTTTGGCCATCATGGGGTGCTGGGGGGGAGTGCAGGGCAAAGCCCCCCTGCCAGGACCCGGGGGCACCCCCAGGAGATGCTCATCCCCCGCATCCCCACAGGCTAAACCAACCTGAGTCATCCTCATCCGTCACCGTCTCGCATGTCACCTGCGGAGAGAACCGGGGACAGAGGCACCCAGCCAGTAAAACCAGTATGCTACTGGGACATGAGACGCTGCCCTGTGTCCCCCAAACATCCCAGGGGCTGGGAGAGCCAAATGGGGTGCAGGGGACATGGTGGCCAGGACGGTCCCCTTGGCCAGGGTACCACGGATTTGGCCCTGGGACACCCCTGGCAGTAATCGAGAGGGGTGGGGGGGATCCCTGGCTGCGGGGGGTTTCGCTGGGGACAAGCATCCAGATTTCATCCATCGTCATCATTAGTATAATCCAGGGTTTTGCCTGTGTAATCCCCGTGAATCGCGGCCTGATCCTGTTAAAGGGCGGCAGCAGGATCCTGTGGCCGGGAGGACGGGGAAGAGCCGATAACGCCACGAAACAGATGGGACATGGATGGGTTTGGGGAGGGGACACTGGCGTCACCAAGCCCCCGCGCTCCCCGGGCTGCCACGACACTACTGACCATCCTTTCGGTCACCGCCGGCTCTGGCAAACGGCATTTTTACCTGCTTCCAGCCGCGGTCGCCCATCCTCTGGAAGCGAGCCTCCCACTGCAACGGCTGGCCCCCACGGTGACACGGCAGCCACGGCACCCGCAGCCGCAGCCGGCCACCGGTTTTGTTGAAGGGCATCCCGGCGGGGGGCGGATCCAGCTTGACTGGAAAGACGAGGTGGTCTCGCCGTTATCGGCGCCGGTGCTGGCGCCCAGCCTTGCCCCGCCGGCACTTACCGGCCTCGTTGAGGTACAGTGTGAGATTGGGGGTCCTGTGGACGTGGTCCCCCCAGCGCGCCTCCACCCAGGCCGTGGCGTTGGTGAGGACGTAGACGTGGTGGTGGTTCAGGGTGTACGTCGTCCTCGCGCCCGCCTCAAACCGCTGGCACAGCCTGGGCGTCGTGTAGCTGGGGCGGGGAGCGGGTGCAAGGTCGGATCCGGATGGAGCAACGCTCGCCATCCGGATGGGTTTGGGATGCGGAGGGCGCACGTCCCCACGTGTCCCGCTCAGGACGCATCCCGTGGGTTCCCCAGGACGTGGTGCTCATCCCCGCCACGGTGCCCGACTCACCAGAGCGTCAGGAGGTAGGAGGTGTTGCCGGCGGGGCCGTGGGGTGGCCAGGAGCAGAGGAACCGGCGGGAGCCACATTGCTTCCAGCAGGAGAAGCCGGGGGCCGTGGCGGTGCCTGCGGGAGAGGGCAACGGATGGGGGGCTGCTGCACCCCAAACCCCGGCAGGTCGGGCAAGGCCAAGATGGAGCAGCGGCGTAGCTGTCGCCCGATCACCGTGTTGCTCGCCCGGGGGATGGGAGCAGCCATGCGGGTGATTCTCACCCAAAAAACACCATTTCCCTCCTCCCTGGGGATGCGGTGCTGGCCGGCGCTGCTCGCCCCGGCAGGGATTCACCGGGCTTTACCCCATCCCTGTCATTTTGAGCGAGCATCGCCATCACAGCAACAGCTCCCTGGGCCTTATCACCCCCAAAATCGTTTATTGAAAGTCTTCTGAAGTTATCTCTCATCTCCCGTCGCCGCAGGAGCACTTACCACCCCGCGCCAGCGCCGCCAGCGCTGCCAGCAGCCACCCCAGCATTGGCCACCTGGGATGTCCCACGCCGGATCCGGGGCTCTGCTGCCCTTCCTGGCTGCCCACTTCCCCGGCACCCAGTGGGTGCCCCCCCCCAGCTCGGTGGCAGCCCCGGCGCTCGGCGCAGCTCCCCACACCCGGCGTTTCCTCTTCTGCTAAAAGCTTGCCGAAGGGTGGCTGTTCCCAGGCAGGGCAGAGCGTGAGGCGTGAATGCATGCCTCACTTTTACCAAAACCAAAAGAGAAAGCAAACAAAATATCCCCCTTTTCTGCTGGCACGCCTGCTGGGACTTGGCCAAACCCTGCCCCGGCTGCACCGCATGCCCCGGCCGCATCGCGTGCTCTGGCCCGGCGAGAAGCGCAAGGTAAGCGAAAGAGATGTCTTAGGGTTTTTGGCTTTTTTTTTTTTTTGCTAACTTCACAGCACGTTTTGGATCCCCTGCCCGTAACTGGGTAAAGTCTCCCACGGCTGCTCAAAGGTTGGGGTCGTTCGGGTTTTTGGGCAGCGTGCGTGCGCGTTTGTGCGGCCGCGTGTGCGCGTGGCTCTCGCCGAAACCAGGCTCCTGTGCCCATCCCGGGCACAACTTGTCCCCTGCGGCGGCGAACAAAGCCCCAGTGAGGCAGGAGAGCGCGGTGTCACTGGAACGTCGGCAGCCGCGTGACCCCGGGACGGTGGAGCCGGGTGGCACCGAGGGCCACGCACAGAGTCCCCTTGTTCCCGCAGAAAGTGTCCCCTTGTGTGGCTTTTGCTCGGGGCCAGAGGGCAGCGGTGGTGGGAGCGTTCCTGCACCAGGACGGCGCTGCCGGGACCCCTCCGTCCTGTTGCCGCTGGCATGGCCAGGGTGGGGGCACAGAGGGTCTCCTGGCATCTCCTGCTCTCCTGCCTCGCTGTGTGCCCTCTCTTGCCCGCCCGGGGTGGGGGGACACGCCAAGCTGTGCCATGCCGTGCCAAACTGAGCCGTGCCGGGCTTTGCCATGTCGCGACATACAGCAGGACTGGGCCGTGCCATGCTAAACTGGGCCAGGCCACGCTGTACCATGTCATGCCAGGCTGGGCCATGCTGGACCATGCCATGCCAGACTGGGCTGTGCCATGCCATGCTGGACTGTACTGGGCAGTGCTGGGCTGCGCCAGGCCATAAGGACCGTGCTGTGCCATGCCAGCCACAGGACAGACCTGGGGCTGGGCCACACCGAGCCAGGGGCCTGTTCCCACCCTGTGCCCTGCTGTGCCAGCCCCAGGCCGTGCCATGCCAGGTTGTACCGAGCCAGGCAGACTGTGCCAGCCCTGTGCTGTGCTGTCAGCCCCAGGCCATCCCGTGCCGTGCCATGCTGTGCCAGGCTGTTCTAGCTCTGTGCTGTGCTGTGTCATGGCAGACTCTGCCATGCTGGGCTGTACCA